TCGAAAGTGCTGCCTAAAGAAAGTTTTAAAAGTCTTAGGGAATTTGATACTCTGTCATAGTTCATGTATCTGTTTCCCAGACATTTCTTTGTGTTAACGTATATACCCAATATTCTTATGCAAATAAGATTATTCCAGAAGGCAGCACTCACAGATATTTTCGGCTATGTTTTACTTTTGTTAGCGTTCGAGTTTTGTTTTCCCTCTGACAGATTTGCTCGACTTAGAAGGCATTTTCTGTAAAGCATCGACTTCTCCTCTTGCCTACCTCCACTTATTGGGCATTCAATCAGTCTGTCAGTGAATCATCTACTGGGTTTGCTTTTGGGTGTTTTTCTTTTTATTTTATAGGGGGAGGGGTGGGGAGGGGTGTGGCTTTTCTCTCCATTTGTGTGTGAAATTTGAGTAGGCAATTTTAATAATTTAAGTAAATGATCCATCACCGTTACAGTTAATCTATCAACGACAGGCGAGCGAGTGCTATCACGTGGCACATCTTCTGGATTTTCCTTTTTAACAAATTGTCTTGCTAAAAGTTTTTGCTAGCTGCAGGGCCCCCCCACACACACTCAAAATTAAAGAGGAAGAAAGCAAAGAATAAGATAAAAAGTGACTGGAAAAATGTTGAGAAATGTTTTTGCTCTGATAAGAAAGAATTTGCTGGCTATTAGTATTTAAAGCGTCAGGTCATTTATATTCATTTGAATGGGGGAATCAGATGAGGAGGAGAGCAGAGGCTGCAAGTGTTGATGGATTATCTGAATGGCCTTGAAGTGGACAAGCCACACAAAAAGGCAGTCAGACTGAAAGGAAAGTCTCCTTAAGATTTATCTGAAAGAATGTTATGGTTGAAAAACAATTGAGGATTTTCCGTGAATGATTTGAATGGAGAAACGTTTGATTTTATCATTTTTTTATGAATGTATTAAGTATGCAATTTAAATGAAAACTTCAAATAATAAGATGATAAGATGTATCCCTAAAAGGTGGCAGGTTTGAATTATTGGCAACCCATAAGAATGCGCTTAAGTGTAGAGGTCATTCGGGTTTAGTTTAAAAGCTTTTTCATAACTATTATTCAAAGTGGTTCTTCACACACTCCATGGATCCGTATTAATTTAATATGTCAACAGATTTCCATCTCCATTTCATCCAATCGAACCGAGTAGTCATCTTTCCACCAAACAAGACCCTGCTCAATCAATTCCATTTTTTGATGGGCAAATGAAAATTTCACTTCCCTTTCTTCTTGGGTTTTTCTTTTGGGGGAACTTCCTTTTCAAATTTTATGCAAATTCTGTTGTTGTATTTTACGAGCTTTTTGGGTTCGTCGTCAAGTGGTAAATCACTTATTTGAATAAGTCAATTTCATTTCATTCCCTTTTACGACAAAACCCCAACCCTCTTCGAGTAGGGTTCCACATTAAACATCAATCCTTATAGAGGGATCCCTACAGATGTATGCACCATAGATGGTGGGGCGCGAGCTCAGCTGCAAACTAGTTCAAGCAGCTTTGGCGGGGAAAATTCTATTAAAATATTTATGCAAATACAAAAAGGAAGCAATCTACAAGGCAACAGCAACGAAAACTGTCGATCTGCTCTATCTATGTCTGCTTTCCTCTGCTCTCCTTTTGGCTCTGGAGCGTGTATGCATGAAAAATGTTGAACAAACGATTTTCATAATCGATTTTCATGTCTGCCCCGGCAGGGCCCTCAATGGCTGTTGACAACACACAGTAGGAGGAGCGGGGAGGAGGATGGGGATATGGGGGCATACGCTTGTCAACCTTTATCAAAAAAGGGATGTACCAGCGACAGACGAAGGAGTCACTGACTGGTGGTGTGGAGGCAGGCGGAAGGCCACAGAGAAAGAGCGAAAGCCGAGACAAATGCGATGTGCGTCTGCTGACAATATATCAACATGTGGGCAGAGCCCCTCCGATTCGGCATACTCGTATGTATATATGTATGTATGTATGCACATATGTATGTATGTGTATGCAAAAGACCAGCGACTTTCACCATTTTTCCAGCTTTACTTTGAGTCCTCCACCAGCTCTTCCGGGTCCTTCACAGGTTAGTCGCACAGGCAGCAAAGCGCATCTAATCGATTCAGAGCATGAGGATGTCAGAGTTCTGTCTAGGACTCGGGCCACTATAGATTGTTCTTTTCTGTTGTTGTTGTTGTTGGTGCTGCTGCTGTCCTCGACTTCTGCTCGTAGTCCCATTGAGTGGGTGTATCGCATGTGACAATAGTTGTGTGAACTTTACAGGACGAAGATTAAGGGCTCATGGAGTACCAGCAGCAGCAGCAACAGCAGCCACAGCACAGCAGAAACAGCAGCAGCAGGAGGCGGAGTTGAAGCTGAAGGCGGCTTAACAAGTGAGTGCCACCAGTTGGACCTTTCGTCTGCTGCTTTCCCGAGTGTTTAAATCATGGCTCTGAGTTCTGCTTTGCGGACTGAAACTGTCGATGTGGGCCAGAAGCCAAAGGCTGAGTGATGGTTCTTAACTTCTTGGCTGGTAAGACGGTTAGTTAAAGCTGACAAACATGTTCTATACGAGTTTTTATCGGCGTAATGCGATGCAGAGAAGGGGATCTCCTTCTCCGTCTTTAAGTCAAAGCTGAAATGCACCTTTAATTGGGGGTTTTATCGGGAAATGTAAAGCAATCGATATATTTATTGCTAATACTCTCTATGTGGCTCTGCTCTCTGTTTCTTACTATTTTCCATTATTTCGTTGCTCCTCTCCCTTGGAAAGCTACTCCTGGTGAACGCTAATTACTGACAGCTGAAGCTAAGGCCCAAATTTCCCTCTTTATCTTTAACACGCAACTCAAAGAGATTGAGCAACAAAAGACGAGTAGAAGGAGGCATGTATCTCTCGGTGGGAAGGGGCCATCCCTATAGAATGTATTACATAATGAAACGCTGATAAATTAAACAGATTTATTATACGCTTTCTGTACGCCTGTCGCCTTCGGCGATTTCCCAACCATCAAGCCAAGCGCCCAAGTCCACGATTTGAGCTTAAGAAACAGTGGCCACCCCCTCCAAGACGAAATGGAATGGTGGAATGGGATGTTCAGCTGCTTGTTCAGCTTCAGAGCACATGCTGAGCGCGCGGTGGCCATATTGGCTGGTGGTTTTAGTGGTTCCGAATGGGTGGCTTGGCTCGAATTGCTTTCGGTTGGGATTGGGTCGGTGGATGCCTGCAGCTAAGCTGATTGCGTTTTGTCAAAATACTGATGTATGTATATATGTATGAATGTACGTATGTTTGTATGAATGTACATATGTATGTGCGTTAGCGTGTATGAATCGATTTGCTAACGGAGTCCCTTTGTAGCAGTATCCGTAACCCAACAGTATCATCCTTTGCTTGTGGTCGCATCTCTCTTTAAGCTTAATGAAAACGTATAATATTTCATTTAATTAAATCCTCTTTGATGTCGTTGCGAGCAGAATGCAGAGAGACAGAGAGTGAGAGAGAGAGAGATAGAGAAAAGCTTCTCTTGCTTTAATTAAGTTGCGGATTCAATTAGCGGCGCGAGATGGCGATATCCTTGATAGAAGGGGAAATTTCCTTTGCTTTTGATTAAAATTATGCAAAACAAAATCAACTCTAATGAGGTGAAGACCATCAATGGGGCAAGAAAAGAAAAGAAGGAAGAACTGTAGTTGAAGGAATACAGCTCCAGCGCTGGTCACACTTTCGGTTTTAAATACGGAGTGGCACTTCAAAAACAAATCTATAACTGACCCGGAACTGTCTCTGTACAAACAACTGCACCAAAAAGCAAGCCCAACTGTACATCTATTAGTGAAAGAAAAGCGTACAATTTGTCAACAATAATTTGCCATAAACTTTCCACAAATCAACACTAAAGAAGGACACAACCAAACAAAAAACAACAGAATGTTTAATAAGCAAAAAATAATAAAACAATCAAAGAAATGCAAAATGTGAAAAAATGTTGGTCACGTAACCCTCTTGTTTGCCCGCCCCCGCACCAAAATAACTTCTCCTCTCTGATTAAAAAGTTGAGCACTCAAGAATATTTTTATATTATAGGCAAAAATACCAAAAATAAAATAAAATAAAGAGAGATCCTGCAAGGACTTGCACTCGCCTTTGGGGTAATTTATAAGGCAACCACACAAACAGTCGACTCGACTTTCCTCAGTTTTCGCCGGCCCGCTCTGCTCTCCTCCGCGCACCCACTGCGTGCTCAAAATTTTACGCGCGTTGACTGCTCAAGTGGGCGCTGGGGGAGGGGCCTGGTTCTGGCGAGGCAGGACCTTCTCTTTTTTGGTCTTTGTCAGAGTCAGGGACAACGACGTCTGCGTCTTTTGCATGAGTCGGGGGACTCGGCTGAAGCAGTCAGTGGCTTGGCGAGAGGAGAGAGGGGAGTGGCAGAGGGGGCCACTGTCAACAGCCAGACTTGAATTACAAATTCAGCACAATGTCCTTTTGTCATTTATGCATTTCGCTGTATAAATTAAGCACAATGAATAGAAACGGCCGCAGGAGTTTTCTTTTTGTTCTCCCTCTAGATTATAATAGAGGTGAGACGGCACGGGGAGCAGAGCCTTGTGAGCAGAACCTCGTGATTAATAAGCCCCGAGTGGCAGAGAATTTTAGCCACAGATTAGATGGAAAAGGTAACCCACACAAAAGTGTCTTCTGCATGCGAGGAGATATATGTATGTGTGCAGTAAGCAGATCCCGAGCCATGTTTATGGTGCCCAAAGTCATGTGCATGACTTTGGATTTCAGCTTAAGACTTGAGATCATCTTTTATGATTTAATGAGATTCTACTCTGATATCAGACGGGAGTGAGAAAGATTTGTGAGGTCAGAACTCATAGAAACTGCAGAGCTTTACCATTTATTGCTTGGTCCTTTTGTTAGCAAGTTTCTCCAAGTCTCTTTTGCCAATTCATAAACCTCCTAATCGCATTTTCTTTCTTTTTCCTTTGTATTTTTAATAGGTGGCAGCGGCAGTGGTGGTGGTGGCGGCGGTGGAGGCGGCGGTGGTGGAGGAGGAAGCTCCTCGGACATATCCAAGGATCACTGCAACAAGACGGTGGACATATTCGAGGACATCAGCTCGCCGGAGGTCAGCAATCAGAATGTGGGTCGACCGCTGACCTGCTGGTATCGTTTCCGCACCCTCAAGGGGGCGCCGCGAGACTTTGTGCTGCGTTTGCGGTTCAAGAAGTTCAAAGTGGGACAACTGCTGAATGCGACCCACTGCGAGGGCGGCTATTTGCAGGTGGGTGTGGTTGTGGCCACTGTTTAGCCAGCATTTGATTTATCATGCCCCGCTGGACAATCCGTGCTATCCGGACAATCCGTGCTAATTTATGCCCTCAGCTAAACGATGACATATGGGGGTTATTCCCAACTGAATTGAGTTCTCCTCTACGTGTCGTATCGTTGCAGATTGTTGACGGCAATGCCAAGACGGATGTCTCCAATCGCCGGGAGCCGGGCATGTTCTGCGGCGAGGCCGAGCAGCCCCAGACATTCATCAGCGAGACGAGCTACGTGAAAGTACTCTTTCACACTGACAACTTTACGGATCAGGTGAGCAGAAGCATTCATTCGTTCGTTACGTTTTATTTTGTCTCCCTGGGAGAATTCCAATTACTGCAAAAGCAAGCTGTCTCATTCTTGAGATGTCTCTCTGGGCCCCCTCGCCAAGTTCTGCCACTTATACTAATAAACAAAAGTCTCTGCAGCTCCTTGTATTGTTTGGTCCTGGTAAATTTCTGGGGCACAATATATAAGTATGGGTGTATATAAATTTCTGCATATTTATATTTATCACATAATTTAGAGGAAATATTATACAAGTCCTGGCTGCCTGTCTGCACTCTTTACACTTCAACCTCTACACCTCGTTGCTCCATACTCTCCCCTCCTCACCGCTCCACTCTCATCTGTCCTTCCTTTCGACTCTCATCCTTTCTTCCACTCCACGATGCTTTCATTCCTTTACTTTTTCTCTACACTGAATTTTCCTGCTTTTGATACCCTTTCAGAGGGTATAAGTCTCTTAAACAGTTTTTGCATAATCATTATGATAATATTTCCAGTCGGAACAGCCAAGATCGTATAGACGGTCGCAAGGGGCACTCTTTGGCGGTTTTTTCTACTGAATATACTAAAAAAAATCGTATGGCACAGGAGCAATGAATCTATTAGGGTATCCACAGCTGACATATCGGTCCTTGTTTTGCTGTTGCCTGTTGGCTTTCCTCTGGCTGTTGCTGCGTCCTGACCCATGTTGCTCTATCTGCTCGGTTGCATCTATGCAACTCACTTTCGCACTTAGAGAAAGGGAGAAAGAAAGAGAGTGACAGAGAGAGTTATATACACACACACACACACACACACAGGCATATACTTTTATATATATATTTTTTTATATTTTTCTTTATATTTTTTTTTGTGTGCTATTTTTTTTTCTTTTTTTTTTTGAATGCATTATTCAGTAGCAGAACGTCTATGGCGTGGGTGGATCCCTGGATCCCTTGGCTGTTGTCTGGCCTCCGTCTGTCTGCTCGTCCTTTCTCTTGCATCCTTTTTGGCTGGCTGGCGCCGTCATTCTCCGTTCAGCCACCACACAACATATATGCACATACATAACTCCGTATCTATGTGAATTTTCAGCTCAAAACTTGAATTCTATTTAGCTCTGTTCCCCCCGTTCGCTTTTCGCTGCTGTTTTTCCTCTGATTTTCCTCACTGTTTTTTTCTATATTTTTGTTTTTTTTATCAACTGCTTTGCTGCTGTGTTTTTGATGCGGTATTTGCATTTATAAAATGACAGATAAGTTCTTTATGTCACATAAGGAATTTCAATATTTATAATGTAGATTTTGTGTGTGTTTTTTATCTGCAAATCATTTCTGAAAAATGAAACCCTGGCATATAAAAAATTACGGAGGGAAGGAAGTATTATAGGATTATGGTTAGGGATTACCTGCATAAATGGATATTCTAGTGATAGAGAAACTAAAGGAGACACTAAATAAAATGAAGATTACTTGTGATGCATAAAGATATAGCCAAAATTCAGATTTCTTACACATTTCGAAAGCTTAACCTCACATTCGTGTCGAATACAGTCCCCTATAACTTTTTTTCTGTCAAATACCAAATTTTGTACAGAAAAAGCACCTGCCCCGCGGGGTTCTCTACTTTCTATAGCACTTTCTCAATGGAATTTTTTCCACATCTCAATTTCCCAATTTTCCCATCCATAATGATATAACCTTCAAAATCACATCCGTCAATATCCATAATTCCATTCAAGCTTTACTTCTTTCATTCCATCCCAGTCAAAGCTCTTCCTTCCTTATCCCGCCACATGCGCCGGCCCCCTGCTCGCTGCCACCAGCACCACTGCCTGCTCTTTCTGCGTAGTGAATGCAGTCGATTGGCTTTATGCCTGAGCTTACAACAAGTTGCAGGGATGCGCAAACACAAACAACACGACTAAAGCCATGAATGAGTGCTCCGGTGCCGTGCACACAGCGGCAGTGTGGAGTCCTGTGGCAGGACACCCTCCAGAGTGTGTCTTATGCACACCTTAATGGAGTCATAAATATTTATGAAAACTCTCCAAGCTCGCTTGGAACTTGCCAGTGAAAAGTTGGCGGATGGTGTGCTTTGTTTTTGCCACGCAGATTTGCGCCCCCAACCCCACCCCATCCCGGACCTTCAGGACCAAGATCCAACCCAAACAGAATCCCTCCCGGACACACAGACGGGAACTTTCTTGCCACTTATTTGGTGCGAGTGCGTCGGGAAAAGTCGTCGCTACCTAGTCGCTACGTTCAGTGGGTGGGATGCCTTTTCATTGGGTAATAAATAAAAATAAGCGACAGCTCTGGCAATGTAATAACACGATTTAATGAGACACAGCACGGGACAGGACAGCAGGACATGGCAGGACACGGCAGGACAGAACGGCAAGGGACAGGAGTGGCAAGCAGAAAGAGCAGAAACATTAAAAAGCAGACAGCAAAGTCAGACTTAACGAAGATATAAATACCCTTCGATGTCGATGGGTGCAGCTGAATAATTTAAATAATATTTTGAAGGATATTTCCTCACCATTCTCCCCTCGGCTCTAACTGAACACAACTATTGATGTCTAGTTTACAGTCTGAATGAAAGGTCTGCCATACCCTCCGTACAAGAGTATCTACGGTTGCGAAACAAATTTAATTTCGTTTTGGTATTAACATTTCCATAAATTCAATGAGAAATAAATCAAAAATAATTTCACAAAGTTGACAAAGCGACAAACAGCGACAGCGAAGAGCAAGAGTCATGGGAGGCAACAAATCCATTTGAAATTTTAATTTATTGGGGCACAAATTTGTCAGGTTATTAACGGGAGACCGGGAAATGACCAGACAGATATCCAACTTGCCACTGGTGCATTGCATCAGCATCATAATCGTCATCATCGTCATGCCATCGCATAGGGGATCAGGGTCCAGGCTCCCTCGATGGAAGAACACTCGCATTCAATGCATTTAAATTCCGCACATAACGAGCTCAAACTACAGCGATGGGAATGGAATGATGGGCATGGATTGAACGGGATTGAGATGGGGATGGGGATGGAGATGCAGAGGCAGATGGGTAGCATCCACGTGTGCAGCATCAGGATGAATCGAAACGAACCTGCGCGTCTGCCATTGTTCACGTCGTTAAGTGGCGCTAACGTCATTGACGCCGGTAACGCATTTAATATTGACATGTGCATTACGCTCTCCTCCGTTTTCCTGCCGCAGCATGATGCTTCTCCTTCCATCCATGAGAGACCCGCTGGAAAATCCCCCATCAGGCTTTATGTAGCTTTCCCCGCCAACAGGATGATGAAGGGAACATGGTAAGGTACATAATGATGAAGCTTTTGTGGTGGTGGTGGTGCGGGTTGGTGGTGATGTGGTCCAGGAAATCTCCTCTGTGGTTGTCTATTCGATAATTTCGACTTCGATTCGGATAATTGAAATGAATGTTTTTATTGATGGCCCGAGGCGTGTATCACTTATGGCCATGATCAAACAAAAGTCTGGAAGTTGGTTATTGGCAATCATACGTTTAGAGGCATACATACGTACCTGTTGGTATTTACTGTACACTTTGTAATCCAATTTTACCGAATTGAATCGCAAATATTTTGGCAATCGAACCAACGTATAGTTTGAATCATAGATAAATAGATAGATAGATAGATAGATAAAAAAGCTGAAGGACTGATGATATTCTAAAATATATGGAACCTTGCAAATAATAATAATAATAAATATAAAAATAAGCTTCGCATTCCCATATGGTTATTGCCACCATGACAAATGTACGATCTTTTCTTCTATATATTTTATCGCTATCTATGCTTTTTACTTTTTACCCTTCTGACGTCTGACCCATCGACCGTCCCCCTCTGTATACTGACTTCATTTCGTTGGCCATTTGCAACTGGGTTTCCCGGGGCAGGCGAGGGCGTGGCTGCCTGCGTCACTGCAGCAGCACGTCATTAGTGCTGATGAGGCCGCCAGGCTTTGGGTAGGGAACAACAGGGAAACAGGCAAACAGGATGGCAGGGAGGCAGTGTGGCCAGCGGAACTGAGGTTGTGGTAGAGGGGGAGTGCAAAGGGCAAAAAGAGAAAAACTCAATGACTTCTTCGTTGTGTATTTGTGTGTGTGTGTGTGTGTGTGGCAGGGCGAATGACATTGCACATTTCCATGTGGCATAAAGACCGAGGCAGGCCGTGACGAGGTGAGGCATGCAAGAGGCGGCAGTTGCAGGTGGATGTTGTTGCAGGTGGCGACTGTTTCATCAAGAGGCGGTCGCTAGAAGTTGCATGCCCCGTGGTTACTCCAACGAAACACGCAATTGTTGCCACGTAGCAAGGAATGGTTGGGAATGGATGCCACGGCATGGCACTGGAAAATTGACAAAATTCATCAACAACAATGGCGAGGGCATGTCAGATGGGGCTTTAACCATGGCTACTAATGGCTTGCAGCTTAGCAGGAATGGGGCACGAACCATGTTGCACCCCCGACACCCCCTGCGTATACGTGATTTTCTTCGATTGTGCCCTCATCGCACACGCTTTATATATGCTTTCCCCTCTGTTTTTCCAGACCTACTTCACATTCGATTCACGCGCGGAGCAGCAAACCGAAGTCTATCTGCGATATGGCCAGCATCCGGAGTTATATCCAAATCGTCGCGGTGAAGTGGTTCAAGGGTGAGTAAATGGCAAACAGAAATGGGCCTACAAAAAAAGCGAACAAACAAAGGGAATTCTGAGGGGAGGGCTATTGGTTATTTTTGCAGGCCAATTCGGGCGTTAATTCAATTTGATTTTGAGGGGGGAACAAGCCATGTAGAATGGTTGCCAGTCAGAGAGACAGGCAATGTCCCTGCCTTGTCGATATTTTATCGTATCATAATCGCATGAAAAAGAGAAACAAGAACTCGATTCAGTGGTAACAGAAGGTCACATTAAATTGAATTACAGGGGGTATATCTTTGATGCTCCTTTGGTTCCTTCTGCACTGCGACAAACATGTAATTCGCGAGAGGAAGAGGCGTGCGCCTGTGTCTCGGAAGATGGCTGAAAAAGTCGGCAATTGAAGCCAGGGCCCTAAAAAGCAGCTTTACCCGCCCTCAGCCAACAAATGCTGACAAAAATAAAACTTTGCAGACATTAAATTTTATTTGATTCTCTTTTTCTTTTTTGGATTCGTTTTTTCCGTTTTTTGTTCTGGAAGTCTAACTTTTATCTTAATAAAATAAGTTGCAAGTTTTAAGCAGAGCTTTTGGCTCTCTATGAAGGGAGCAGAGCCCTGACAGAAGGTGCAGAGGGAATTTGCAAGATTTATTCTGATGATATTTGTGCATATGCAAGCAGGGGGATGGGAAGATGAGTGCCGAAAGTTTCAGCGTAGGCAGAATCGTTTTCCAAATGAGTTGCAACAAAATGAAATGGGATTTACAGTCAAGTCCCACTTGGAAAAATCAGGAAAAAATCAACGAAATTTTCTATGAACTAAAGAGTATTTTCTTGAGGCAGAAAACACATGAAAAATGCACAATTTGCAATGAAATTCAACTACTGATAAAGTCCTGAGAGGAAGTTGTGAAGTTTGTGCTAAACGAATGACAGAAAATTTAATAAAATTTGAAATAATAAAAAAAAAACCAAATAAATAGTGAAAATAAAAAAGCAACCTATAAATAAAGTTCCTTCTCTTTCTCCATAACCTCCTCCCAAGAAAGTTCAATTTAAACCAATTGAATCCGCAATATTTATCATCTTTAAATGGCATCAAGAGGCATCTTTAAGAGCCCATCAATAGAGGCCCCTGTGAGGCTGCTCCAGAAGGAGCCAGAACTTAGTAGGATGGGAATTCTACAATTCCCAGTCCTTTTCGCCCACATGGCCAATATGATTTTTATGCTAATTTTGCGGTCACGCGCACATCGGCACCAAAGCCAAACCCTAGACCCCCAAACCGAATCGAGCCAAAAGCAAAGCAAATTACCAAAGACAAAGAGTAATAGCCACAAGGAGAAAGAGAAGAAAGGAGAGCTTTGGCGAAAATGAATAAAAATGGTAATCATATTTACGCTAGCATCGTCTTGAATGATTTTCCGTTTGTTTTACTTAAACAAATTGAAAATTATACGCGCCAATAAAAGACATTTTTCTTTTTGCAATTTAACAAAAATTTAACAAGCCTCGAAAAAAAATTAAAAAAGTGTGCAACGTAAATTTGTTGGAGGGTGAAGTGAGAAAGCGGAACAGAAATTTCCAAATCAGTGAACACAATTTTCTGGTTTCGTTGTCTCGGGAAACGGAATGGGTACAGATGGGGGAAGGCTGTAGCAGACCCGAAAATTTCTTAAATCATTTTAGATGGCCTACTGAGCGAACATTTACTTTGGGGGCAATCAATTTAAAAGCAATTAAATTATACATTCCTCCTAATTCAATTATATTTTGTTTTCTTTCTAGATCCTATTGCGAACGCGAATATCGGGATTGCCGCCTGCAGACCTGCTATGTCCAATCGCCGGCTTATCCTGGCCTGTATCCTCGCGCACTGAACTGTCGCTATAAGCTGCACACCCGTCAGCCCTACATAAAATTGTATCTACAAAATGAACAATTCGCTGTGGATGGTCAGAGGTAAGTTTATTAAAAGTATAGAAGAAATGGGATCATACAAAAGGAATATCTACATTTTTTGTCTGTTGGATAGATCGTATCCCAGAGGGTATAGCCACATACAAAACATGTTGCTGAAGCATCGGACAATTCTTAGAATAATGTTTCTTGCTTAGAATTTATTTTATTGATGGTGTTTTTGCTTAAATTCTCTACCTTTGCATTGATATTTTTCATACTTTTCGGTTTTGTTCTATTGAACCAAACTTGAACCCTTTTTCAGGCCTTAACATTTTTTGTTTTATGCAAATGTATTTCCATTTTTCTCTATTTTTCCAACCTTTTTTTTGTGGCGGGGTAGGAAGTCCCTACTAGGGACCGAAATTAGTGTTAAATTTAACACCCTGTAATTTGTCATTCTGGCACGCCGATTGCACAATCCCCAAGCCACGATTCTCTGGCATTTACCAAACATCAGGATGTTGCTGGAATTGTTGTAATGCATTTGGCATCCTGACAATGACAATTTGACATAGCGCTCGTCGCAAAAATTGGCACCAATTTGCTGGAAAACGTTGGCGACATGTCCTCGGCTTGCACTTTCCATGTCTGTATCTACGAGTTTCTGTTTCTGTGTGTGTGTGTGTGTGTGTGTGTATATCTGCATCTGTGTCTGTGTTTGGTTCTGGGAAATTGGCTAAAGGATTACGTTTTGAGTGAGGTTGCCATCACTTTTATATTGGTGGAGGGGAAACAGAAAAGCTTTCGAGTCGGCAGCCAGTCACGGCTGCCTTGTATTATTAATGCCAAAATGATGAAAACGTTTGTGAGAAAGAAGAATCCTCCCCAACAATTGCTTAGCTCTCTCGCTTAAAGCTGATGGATTGGATTGAAGGAGTGGAAAATCTGTGGCATTGTGAGGAAAAAGGAAAACAAAGGAATATGAAAAGCATTGGAAAGGGTTGATACGTAGCAAATTTGGATTAAATTCGTATGTACAAAACACACCGAAATGATTGAGTAATTATGTATAAAATGTATAAAATAATCGAGGAAATAGAAGGATATACATTGTAAAGGAACTTCCAGGACGGCTTACGTAATTCGTAAGCTATACAAAAAAATCAAATTTCAAAGGTAGTTTTCCGAGAATTGAATTAGAAGTAGATGAAAATTGTATGTAATATATATGTACATAAAATCTGAATTGAATATGTATTTTTGAGTACGCAGAGCAGTTTTAGTACATGCAAATAGACTCAATTACGAACCTTTTAAAGTAATTCATTCATAGCTCATTCAAAACTGAGAAACAGCTCATTTAACTGTGAATGCCATTCATCAGGTAGGTAATACAGATAAGAAAGTTTTCATATTCACATACCTATGCCCGCGCTTAGTCCCTTCCCTGGATGGCACTAAAAGCCTCCAGCACTCAGTTACCAGTAAATTCAATTGCTCTCCGTACTTCATTCCTTTAGTGTTCTTTGTACGCTTTTTTTCTTCGGATTTTGTGCTACGTGAGTTGAGTTTTTTAATTGCCCATAATTCAAACGATAATTTAATATTTGAATAAAAGGAACCGCTTTGTGAATACGTCAATTCATCATTCTATGTATCTCGTTAGCTTTAATATTCTGTATTTCAAATCCAAATGCATAAACCTTTCTTTGGTAAAAAGAATCAATTTGTGGCCATTTGATTTAGTGGGACAATTGCAAAAAATATTTTGGTCACCATTTGGTTTTTGCTTAAAGCAAAGCTTAAATATTTAATGGGCTGCTCAAGTGCGCTTAAGTCCCCCCTTTGGATTGCCTCTCTTTCTGTTGCGACAAATACAATTTACATTTGCTTAACCGAAATGACCTTTCCACAGAATATTTGCCTCATCATGGGTCAAAGGTCCTCTCCAAAAGGATGGATGGTGGGGACCTAATGATAGGCGGAGGGAGGGAAAATCCTTCAGCTTTTAACACTTTGCGGACTCTCAGCAGAAGTATCCCGAGTAACTTAAAGCTTGTTTGATGTGCAAATGCCCACAGTCAGCATATTTCCCTGTCGACTGTCAATTCCTCCTGTGGCAAGCAGTCAGTCGGGCACCCATTCCGAGCTACAGTTCCAGCTGCTGCCACATGCCATGCCACGTGCACATCAAGCAACAGCAAGTCGGAATTAGATAAGCAACATTCAATTTATTTTTATAGATTCAATTTGAATATTTACCTTTTGAAAAGTCCTATGGAAGGACCAGGGAAGGACTCTACAATCCTCCATTCCGTCACGACTGTGGCACGAGTCACAGACTGCCATCAAAGTTGCCGACTTTGAGTTGGGTCTCTGCCAAAGTAGTGGGTGGTAAAGGGAAGTTGTGGGCGACAGGAAGTGTAGGGCTACAATCCCCTCTAAGTGTGTATTAATTTGCAAGTCTAAGTTGCTTTTGGGCTCCAACAACCCCCCACTCTTGCATGCAGGAAAGGATTAGACAAACATTCCCTTTTCTGAAAGAGCTAATCGGGAACTGGGGCCTGAGATGCTTCTCCTGATTGAAAGTTACTCAAATTAGATTTTTCTTTGGCAATGAAGTTGGCAGAAAGGGTGATTCTACGTTCAGAACAAAGATATATCAAGATTCATCAATCACAGCATTATGTGGCTTCACAATGGCCAACCATTGGTTCAATTATCCATAAATTCGTTACTTATGCGTAGTACAACCTCTGGTTAGCTGTTTTACTTTAGGTCTTGGTAGCTAATCCCTGCTTGAATCATTCTGAAATCAATCTAGTCTTAAGTTTTGTTTCATTTAACCTTTGCTTTTCCCCTGAAACCTGTTTAACCTTTGGTTAAATATCCCATAAATCCAGTTCATCTAACATCTACAACCACATCCCATCCCCTTCCCCCCCATCCAACCGTTTGGCTGCCAAGTCAGCAAAAACTTTTCCCCTGATGCTGTAGCTCTTTTATAAATCACTCCATTTTATTGCACGGCGGCTCCTTTGGCGGCTGTCAAAAAACACAACCCACAACAAAATTCCTAATTTCTCTTCCCCATACAGATACGAGATATACTATACTATATATGTACATATACGAGTATGTATAACATTTCTGCTATAACAGCAGAAAAATACAGCAGGGGAATTGAATAAAACTTGGACATGGGGTATGGGTTGCCAAACAAATGCAAAAGTCATCGAGTAAAAAAGTTTTTTAATATGCCAAAATTATTACCAGTCAGTGCTTTATTTTTTTTCCATGGCCTTTTTCTTTTTTTTTTGGTACTCGTATTTTTGTTGATATATGTTTGGGCCAAAAAAGTTTTCCCGCAAACCCAAAGAATATTTTTCCAAACGCGCTCTCCCTCTCTCTCTCTCTCTTTGTAATCAACTTTCTGGCCGACATCGCATTTATTATCAATAAGTTGGATTAGCTCTTCGAAATGGCCGAAATGCCGAGAAAAACTTGCTGACAAAGTGATTAAATTGACTGAAACGAACGACTAGCTAATAGAAATCTATCTTTGTATGTACATATACACAGATACATATATATACATAGATACAAAAGTTGTCCAAAAGTTTCCAGAGAACTTTCCTGCGATGGTCGCACAAAAAAAACGAGATGCCTGGACGAAAAAGATGGGACGGCTCAATGAAACTGTCAATTAAATTGGTATTTTTTTTTGTTTCACTTTCGAAATCAAATTCAACTGCTTTTTTGGCTTCGATTCGGTCTCTCAGGCTATCTCTCTATCTGTCCAGACAGGCTTTCTCTCTGTCCCTCTCGGTCTATGAATCGGTCGGTGTTTGATTAAAGTTCAGTTCGTAATTACCAAAGTTAGCTTTCAATTAGAAAGTTGCCATACTCGTACACTCACAGACACAAACCGACACAAAAGCTAGGTGAGAGGCATTTCATTTGCCTTTTGAACTGCCCACCAATCAGTCTTATCCTCCACAGCCGTGGGGCAAGCAAAATTGGGAATCGACAGGGGCGCCACACAAAAAATAAATGGCATCACACTTCCCGGCCTGTCATCGTCGACGTCCTCCGCCATTCAATGGTTGCTCTGAGCTAAGGGCATCTCCCGCCATTGGATGCCATTGAAGGCATAAAGGTCACTTTGTCTGGAGCACAGAATTCTCCATCAGTCAGGGCTATGCCGAGGCTAGACAACCAGAAAAAAATTAAAAGCATCCTCTAGAAATTAGAAAAGGCTTCAGAACAGACGCTTTGGATTTTTTGCTTCACTTTTGTTTATTTTCTTCTGCTTTTGCTTTGGGAAGCTCTTTTTTCGTCGCTTTGAAACTCTTTTTTTGCGAGTTACTTCCACTGATTCCCCCCTGTGGAAGGCAAAGTGCAAATGAATGTCATGACCAAGGGCGGTGTGTGGCTGTGGGGTTTGTGGAGAAGTTATTTTGAATTTATCATTCGGAAGGAACAACTTAAAGTAGAAATTGGTAGGGATTGATGTGAGTAGTCGATCTTAGAGTACGCAGAGCAGCTTTAGTACTGGCAAATAGACTCAATTACGAACCTTTTAAAGTAATTCATTCATAACGCATTCAAAAGCAAACGCAAAGTGAGCAAGAAGAGCTCTTTTAACTGTGAGTTCAACCAATCTTTCAGCATTCAACATGTATGCCATCCACCATTCATCAGGTGGCTAATACATACATACATGCATAAGCATGTTTTCATATTCACATCTCTATGGCTCCTCCTCGCATGGCTCTGATGCATAAACATTTTTTCACAGATTTTAACAGATTTCTGTCTGGCACTAAAAGCCTCCAGCACTCAGCCAGCAGTCAATTCAATTGCTCTCCGTCCTTCATCCCTTTAGTGTTCTTTGTGCTTTTTTTCCTTCGCTAAATAAATGTATTAATTGTTCAGTTTGTGCTTTAATTCAATTTGACATTTGGCGCTTCAATAATGGCATTAAACAATGGCCTGCAGCCCCCCATTAATGGTGAAAAAACTCTATCTCATTTGCAGATGCGAGAACGTCATGACCTGCCCGATCAGGCCAATTGGATCAGGCAATGAGCACTGCCCCTTCGACTGGCTGGCTGTCTACGATGGACGTGACGAGCACTCGCCGCTAATTGGCAAATTCTGTGGACTCGGAAAGTTTCCGTTCAGCATTATTGGTGAGTGGCTACGCCCCCACATGAAACCAAAACCCTACCCGATGGCATTTCCATTTAACATCCTCCCATCCATCCTCTTTAGGTACATCACAGTACATGTATGTGGAGTTTGTAACATCGCCGGCGGGGCCGCTGCTGAATACGGGCTTCCATTTCAATGTTGGCAACTGGCCAGGCCACGTGGAGACGGCCGGCATCAAGCATGGGGTATGCGACTGGCTGCTAAGCTCCGACTCGCTAAAGGACAGCAGCGCCAGCGAGGGCATCTTCTTGAGCATTGCCCACTGGTATCCGCCGAATACGTCCTGCAGCTATCACATCAAAGGACATGTCGGCGAAATTGTGCGCCTCTATTTCCCCAGGTAAGCATTACATATTCCATGAATTTCATTAGGGAATTGCCTGTCGAATGGCCGGCTGCGGTGTGATAATCACAAACAGGATTCTGGTTTCCTCAATGGTCGTGTCCATATTGCAGCCATAATGTTAGACCTCTTGAAATTTCAAGTTGTAATGTTCAGGGTCACCAATAGCCTACCCCAAGCATTGGCATTTTCAAGTTTTTCCATTAAAATTTTCATTTTGTAACCGGTTTTGCCTCCCCCTGACAAGAAACATCCTAGTTGATCCCTCTACAGTCCGAAATCCGTTTGTCGGTCTTTTCGCTACAAGTGCAAAGTTTTGCGGCTATGTGGGAGCGGTTTGCATTTCCTTACTCAACCACCAACCGGTCGGTGCTCTGCCCTCACGCCCCCCCATCCTGTATCCTGCCTTAACTCTAGTCCGTTGGCAATCCTCTGGATTGGGGCTTGGGCTTGAGCTTTCCTCATTGCGTTCTATGCTGTAAGCGTATTTTAATGAAATTTTCCGCAAAGATTTATGTGACATTTTAATTTAACGTGTCGTAGCTGAAGTTGTTCCCCACAAACATACTACGCATATATATACATATATATTCCGGAATATATATATATTTTTTACATTGTTCAGAGACGACAGAGTCGGCAGTAGTCAAAGTGTTTGTCGCCAGGCCGTTGTTTGTGCCTGAAGTGCCAGTGTCTGTCTCTCCCCCCCTCTCTCTCACCCTCTCTCTCTCTCTCACTCTCTCTCTCTCTGAACTTTTTGGCAAAGTGTCGCATTGATTGTGCATTTCATTTCATTCCGAGAATACGAATACGAGGACGAGTATTTTCCACTGCATTTTCCTCCCCCTACCACACTTCCATTGCCATTGCTGGCCCTGCGAAATATTTTATTGTGCTGCGGTTTTTGGCATAAAGGATAAGGAATGAAAACGGCTATAAGGATGAATCCAAAAGACTATGGCAAAGTTTTCCAACTCTGACACTTTGAGGGCACATTGATGGTTGGGTTGGCTTGGGCTAAAACTTTGCAGGGCAAACCGGATAAAGAACAGACTTTTCCCAAGTAAATTGTGTGAGGAAATTTCATATTACAAGCATAATTTAAAGGATTTTAGCTGGTTAAGTGGTAAACAAGCGACTAAAACTTGCAGTAATTCCATAATAAACATGAATTTTGCTGTGGGTTTTTGCATGAGTAAATTTGCTTGCACATTAAGTGAGATTTGGTTGGAATTGGTTTCTGTTTAGCTATGACATAGGAGGAGTAATTCTGTAGAGTTACAGAAAGCTCAATTTTCATTCGTTTTCCCATTGTTCCAATGCTAATCACCTAGTCTTTCCCAAATCCTCCCTCCTTCCTGTAGCTTTCCATTTGCTCGAACACGAATCAGCTTGCAATTGCAATGATTCGTAGTCCCCTCCCCCTCACACACACACACACACACACACATCAGCGCAAATCCATGCCCATCTGTGTTGTTGCAACTCCTGTAATTTATGCAGAAAATGTTGCCAAGTTTTTGCTGGGGAAACTGCTAAAGAAAACTATGTACAGGGCAGACATCACACAGGCCACGGGATGGGCAGATGGACAGGATGAGATCTTGGGCAAGCAGGCAGCAAGCAGGCAGGAGAGGGTTAAAATATCAAACAAGTTTTTTGCCAAAAGATAAATATTTATGTCCACCTACAAAATGGGGTATGGGAAGGAGCTGAGGCTGAGTCCGTGCACAGTCCCCAACAAAGGAGAGGTGCAACCCATTGCTTGGGCCACTTTTGAGCGTGGGGCAGGTGGAAAAGTTGTGCGCACGTTTACACCGATTGCCATTAGGAGTTCAGAAGTGGGCAACATGATTGCGTGATTACAGTGCACAAAATGCAACCGAATACTGTGTAAGCAATCGACAGAGACTGCAGAGTGGTAGAACGGTGGCAGTGGTAGGGGCAGGGGCGGTGTGGCGGGTGAGAGAGTGTAAAAGCCACGTTAGTTTGTTGTTGTTTGGGGCAAAAGTTTCAAAGTAGACGAAAAATGCAATGGGGAAAACGCACACACAAACATTTTCATGCACTTTTCTGGCCAAGTTTTTTTGTTGTCTTTTACTTGGGTCCTCTCAGTTAGTACTCGTTCCCGTTCACGTTCCCGTTCCAGTTCTCGTTGTTGTATTCGTTTACTGTACTCATTCTCGTTGTTATTTGCTGGCAACTTCTCTCCCAAATTGTTGCGAAACGCCCACAACAACCAGCTACAACAATTGCAGACCATTAGAAGAGGTTCCTCCGTAGTTCTCCTTTACGAGCAATGTCAGTTTACATTCTGGGAAAACCTCCCGCAAAACCTTGAGTACATTTTGCTCCTCCATGATGTATGTGGGTGTGCACTCTCCTGTTCGTCCTGTTCGTCCTGCGGCCTGTCGCAAGAGTCTAGACGCTGTCGACATTGTTTCCAAGAAAGTTGCTCATTTAAGTAACATGTCATTGCTTTGCTTTCGGTTGCTTCTTCCGTTTTTGTTTGCTACGACTTCGTCTTTTACTCTTTTTTTTTTTTTTTTTTGTCTCTCCAAGTGGTCTGACCAGATGTTGAACTACTCCTTGAGCACACACAACACATACATATACACATATCTATATAAATTGCACTTAAGTTTTCGACTAAGCTTAGTGAAAGTGAGTGTGTGTGTGCGGGAGGTGGGTGGTGGGCAGTTGGAAAAACAATCCATTTGCCTGGACACACACACACTCTCTCGCAATATTGTTGGAGAGCTGTCGATCTACATCAAGCTACTAACTACTTAGTGTCTGCTGCTGCTATCCGCTATTGTCCGTTGGATTAAATTACAGCTATATACAGCGTAGTTCTATCTTCTAATTAATGGCTGTACTTATCCATTTTTATAGTTCACAGGTTAGCTCAGGTTAACCGACTCTTCTGGGTTTATTGGCTGAGGCTATGAGTTCCCATTGGATGCATTACATACCATAAAATACTATTAAAAGCGCACAATAAAACATATTACGATGCACAAAGTATGCGCCACCACGTTCCGCTCTGCACTGCTGCCCTCTTTAGTCTGTGACCCACAATCAATAACCGAAATAAAATCAATTGTAGCCATACACGCTACCTTCATTTTCCACGAATAGTGCCATCCATTTACAAGCTTTGCAATAGGCCAGAAAATAACGGAAAAAAAAACCAAAATATAAAAAAAGTACCAAACAGCACAACAAAAATCCGCTTGAAATGCACAAGACGCGGCACATACTCGCACTTGGGCTATTTATAAGCCTTATGGCCGCATAAACTGACGCTTTGGGCTTTTGGCCACGGCACCAATCGACTCCCATATGCACATAACCAAGCAAACCAGCTGACAACCCAACAGAGTCCCCAAACTACAGTCATCCCATCCACCTCTAAATGAACAGCCCACACCCACCCACTGAGTCAGCAGAACTGAGAACTGAGCAGGGGCTGCGCTGGGCTGGGCTGGGCTGGGCTGGACTGGATTCTGGCCTCTGGAACTAGGCTAGGCTGCAAACGGATTACGAGGACATGCCGCAGGGCGTTGGGGCTTACTTTTCGACGACGCGTACGTGAATAACGCTATGGGCACGTCGTGGTGGGGCGGAATGGCTAGAAAAAAAACTAAAAATAAAAAATAGTAACTGTGCTCTATTATGAATAGTGGTGGGGACACACTACAGGCATACTATACTAGTAGTACTAAACAAAAAAAAAGAGAGAGTTGGAGAAACCAAATGAAATTTGTGCCACACTGCGATGCCAGGGAGGTAGATTAGGGGGCGTGGCTGGCGGTTACCTCCCCCCACTCCACTCCATTTCCCCCCCGCAGCATACTGCTGATGATGGTGATTTTTCTCTGTCCTGAATGTCCTTCTCCTCCTCATGCCAGTTTTTCTTTTTGGTGTGCCAACTTTTTGTGTGGGTTAATAAAATGTTGTATTATGTCATATTTTTGGGTAGAGCATGGAGTAATGTAATTGCATAGAATGTAGCAGGATTCACCGCAGTCTGAAATGGTTATATAAAAGGATACAGGACACACATGAGGTGGTGGAATGAATAAAAGTATATTACAATTTGTGAAATTTGTGGTATAATTCAGAAGCTGCTCTTTGAATAAGAGCTGAGAAATTTGAATGTCATTTCGGGCTCTGAAGTTGTTTTGGATTGGTTGAATTGGTAGACAGCGGTGAAACATAGTTAAATTATCGGATATATGGGAATAGATTTAAGTTTATATTTGGTTTGGTTTAAACTTTAAGAAACCTTCGACACTGTCGAATCCTCACCAGCAGAATTTGTAGCCGAGGCAACCCCTTGCAGACACGGCAAGCCATAAAATTACTGCAGGGAAAACAGCAGAAAATTGGCCTTCCACATCAGCTCGTTGCAAATATTCCTGGTGGGCTGCCACAAATAGTTTTGGAATGCAATTTGACACAGCAAGGAATGCAATTCACATCGCAACCTCAAGCGGAAAGCACCCAACCTGTTACCTGGGGGCGGAGCGGAATTTAAATTAAATCGTACTGCGGCCTGGCACCATGCCAGACCGTGCCACATGTTTGGGAGAGACAACGAGTTAAGACCTTTTCTACTTTTCGTTTCAGCTTCCGCATCAATCGTATTGAGTCGCCGATCCTGAAGTACGAGGGAGACTGCGGTGAATCGCTGACAATCTACGATTCGGACCACGCCGACCCAGCGCGGATTATCAAGACCTTCTGCGACACCTTCTCGCGGCCCATGGAGAAGGTGGACTTTGTCAGCACCAGCCCCTCGCTGTACGTGCAGTTCGACTCGAAGACGGGCAGCTATAGCGGCAGCTCACTGTACTACTGGGCCCACTACGATTTCTTCAACAACACACGCTTCGGCGATCCCGTGCCGAACACCCTCTGCGACGAGGTGATGTACGCCTGGAAGCATCCGGGCGGACGCCTTCGGTCGCCCCTCAATTCGCTGATCTTCAAGCGAACGGGCGGCAGCGATGTGCGTTGCCAGTACAAGTTCGTGACGGACAAGAGGCTGTACGCACGGGCCATTATCGAGGTGAATTCGGTGTCCTTCAAGGAGCTGCCGTACAACAGCAACGCGTGCACCAGGTGCCACGAGGAGCGGGTGGACAAGCTGGTCATCTGGGAGGAGCGGGACAAGTATCAGAACAACCTCGCCTGCTTCTGCGACAACATTCCCCGGGCGGTGCGCGTCATCTCGTCGGCGGACCAAATGAATCTCGAGATGATCGTCCAGGGCCAGCACGCCATCACCTCCTACTTCAAGAATCCCAATCCGCTCTTCGAGGCCACGTACGAGTTCGCCCACGGCCCGCTGTGCGGTCCCATTACCCTGGGACCTTCGCCGGACGGCGAGCTGGTTTTCCCCTACAAGAAGGCCCTCGCAATGGTGGCCGGACCGATGGCTCCGCCCGAGCACCACTACCGCCGCGAGAAGTGCATCTGGGAGCTGAAGGTGGCCGCCCAACGGGACCTGTGGCTCAACCTGGAGAAGGCGCGCTTCGCCGACCGCAGCTGCGAGAGCGCCAAGATCGAGGTGTATCTGGCTGGGCGCCTGGAGCCGCGCTTCGTTGTCTGTCCGGAGAACATATCGATGGCCAGGGATCTGCCCATCCTGACCACGGCCGAGCTGGGGGCCACCGGGGCCGACCAGGAGCCACTGCCCGTGCTCATTCAGTACACGGGCGACGGGCAGCCGGGACGAAACATTTTCCGCCTGGTCTGGAGCGAGCTCTTCCACCTGCCGCGCAATCCCGACGGCAGTCTGGCCGCCTCCCTCCTACAGGACGCCGACTGTGACTTCCGCTGCCCCGGCGACACAGAGGTCTGCATACCCCGCCACCTGCTCTGCAACGGGGTGGCCAACTGTCCCAACGTGACGCACGCCTCGACGCTCGACCAACTGACGCGTCACATCGAGTGGAACCTCGAGCAGCTCGGCCTCCTCCACCACGCCGGCGAGTACCGCCAGCTGGTCCTGCACGACGAGTCGCCAGAGATCTGTCTGCGGCGGGACCTCAGCGAGTTGCCCTACGGGAAGCTCTCCCTCATCGCCCTGGGCCTGTGCCTGATGTTTGCCCTGCTCTTCGCCATCTTGCGGCGAATGTGTCGGGGGCCGCCCAAGCAGCCGGGCTTGCATCAATTGCATGAGGATTACTAAATGGAATTCTGACAGGCATTTCAGAGTTGATACTTTCCGGGAGATTGGGTATAAAATTTGTAGGAATTAAAAAACGGATGGTAGGACTCTGCAACAACATTTTGAGGGAGTTCACATTCATCCAGGTACACACACAGTTTTTTCTTTAAATTTTTTTCTAAATTTGTGGGTTCCATCAAAAATATCTTGGGGTACCATTATCACTTTGAAGTTGTTGTGTTAGCTCTAGGTGCGTTTTATTTAAGCAAATATCAAAGTTTAAGATTTAATTTCCTAAGAAAGCACACAGAAAAGAAATCACTTGCGGAAACAAACCATCGCCCAAAGGTACATCCATGGCACACTGCCAAAAACTCCCACAAAAATCTGCCAATCGTTTCCCTTCTCTGATAAATTAAAAATTAAATGAGGCTCAAAAACCCATGCCCCAAATCCAAAAACTATATGTAAGTAGTTCTGACCGGTCGAGTCTATAACTTTGCCTCTACGTGACATCTAATGAATATTAATTGAAAATCATTGTACGATAAAAAAAGAAGCGAAAAAAATTCCCTTCAAACATATAAATGTTTAAAAAACAAAACAAAAACACAATGTAACAAAAAAATATGAAAACTGCTCTGAATAAATTAATTAAAACATGACAAATTGTCACGTGATAATTGTTAAATGAGGAATGTTGAAAGAAACAAAAAAAAAACCAAATAAGTAAATACTTTTGAAAAGGCATAAAGAAACTAGAGTTTAATTAAGGCAGACAGGTAAAATGGCAAAACCATGAACAAAAGCCAACAGAAACAAACATACAAAAAATGTAATTCAACGTATTAATAACAAGTGTTGGTGGATTTTATTAGCTATTATATCATGAATTATAATACGAGAATCCATTGTATTATTATTGGCAAATTGTCAAACAAAAACCACAAGGAAATGCCATGAGTATATGGTCATACATATATGTACATATATACATACATATATGAATATGTATTTAATGTACGATATACGATATAGGGTATATTTTTTGCACATAGATTTACCTAGAACATAATTGAATGAAGTACTTCCCCCCACCCCACACACCTTTCCAGCTTGAACAACAGTGTGGAGATCATGTGTATATGTAATTGCAAACATTTTGTGAGGAAATTTGGTGAAATATTGTATTTCCTTGTGAACCCCCAGAAATAATGGAAAATTGTAAATTGATACGTGGAAATGATTTTAGTATTTAAGTCGGTTTAAAATGGAATCACAAGGGCATTGCTGTCATGTTCCATATTGAATTCCATTACTCCCAACCAAACAAATCATCTAAAATCTGCACCTTAGAGGTACAGTTAACCCCGTGACATTGCAACTTTGTAGCAATGCCCAAGGAAGATGAGAAGAAGCAAAAGAGAGAATGGATGTGCCCCACAAATAATAAAAAGAACACAAACAACAACAGTAAAAAAAAACAGATATTAGGACACATATTTTAGTGTACATCAGAATTAAATGTATAAATAAAACAATAAATGCAAAAATAAATAAATTGACAAATTGGAAACATTTTAGTTGAATCGAAATGAGGGGGAAACAATTTCGACCATTATCAATGCAACTCTGCAAAGCCGCGTGGTAAAAAATTATAGAGAACGAAGAAGGGAATACACAAGACGAACGCACACAGCATTGCCAGAGAAAATAAAAGAAAAGGAGAAAGAAGAATGATAATTTCAAAAAAAGGGTTAAAAAAGGAGAGCGTCAAAATGGAGGAAAGCCCTGTTACAAATACCAATACCACACTTAATGGTCAATGGAGAAAAAAGAGGCAGGAAAGAGAGGGGGAAAGAGTAAAATAGGAGTTGGCATAATGCAAATCTGCCACGTCACGCGGTGAAAATACAGCCCTGCCAGCTGAAAACGAAGCAAAGGAGAAGAAAGTAAGCGATGACAGGCGCTCAACGAAAGCGTAGCGTAGAGAGACGCGACAAAAGGGACAGCGACGACGTCGGCGATTTATACGTCAGCAGGCGAGCAAGCGCAAACGTACTCATACGTCTCTTTGGGTCACTGTCAAAAAAGTGTTGAGAGTTAAGCAACGCGACGAGTGAAAGGCGAACGTGAAATTGTGAAAAAAAAAACGTTGTTGAAAGTTTTGTCCATTCTTGTTCATTGTTTTTTGGCGATTGCGATCCTCTTTGGCTTAGCAATGGAGAAATTCGGTGCACCACGTGGCAAACGTCCGCGCGTCCAGGTATCGATGGAGCAGAAAGAGCGTGCCATTGCCCGCATACTCAGCGGTGAGACCAAGGCCGGCATCTCCCGTGAGCTGGGCGTGCCCGAGTCCACGGTCCGTGGTTGGGTGAAGCGCTCCGAGCTGCGCTCCGCTCGCGAGAAAGATGAAAAGCCAAGTAAGTAACGACCCAGGTGGTTCTATCGAGTAGACACACAATTCATTCTGTTGCATTGTTTACTGCACGCAGATCCAGACTTAACGGCATCGCCGCCGCAGTCTTGGAAGCTACCGCAGAAGCGCAACATTAATGGTCATCCGGTGGCCGTTTCTCCATCTTCGGTGGAAGTTGCCCGAAAGTACATGAGGGAGTCACTATCGATGGCAATGCAGGCTCCAGTTCGGATGCCGATTCCGATTCCACGTCACATTGCGGTCGCCCTGGCACCCCTACCCTTGCCCTTTCCAATGCCCCAATCGGTCCTCAGCGGCATCAACGAGTCAGTCGACGGCAGTCAGCTGATCTACTGGCTGCACATCTTCAATGCGGGTATCCTCAACTTCACCTGGATCGTCACGGCCGCTCTCCAGCATGCACGTGACCGTGGGTATGCGCATCGCCTGAGCTTGTGGCAGATTATCAACAAATACGTGGACGAGGCCGCACGCAATGTGTACACCAATGCGGGCGTGTTTGCGCATCCATTGCCAAAAACATATCCACTTCGCATTGGTAACTTTTCCCAGACGCCACGTCTCCACATCACAGCCGAGGATGATGAAGAGGACGATTAACTGTAGTGATAAAGGGAACATCTCTTGTGCTTTATATAATGTAAATGAATATCTCTTAAGGGGGGGCGGGGGGTAAATTATGTTTGATTAAAGATTGTATTTACGGGTGTATATAGAGATTTTCTACTATAGTGACATTTTTCTTAGATGTCATTGGGTCAAGGAATTTGCCTACAAATGGGTGAATTTTTCTTAAAGAGATATTTCTATACCAGAAATCAGAGGAAACATTACTTTTGATAGTTAATCCTTCCTATTCTTTTGAAAGGAACGAGTCTCCCAAACGTCTCAACGCATTCTTATAGTTTTGTTAGCATTTCCGTAATCAAATCACTTAAATTCCAGAGATTTTCATCTAAAAATAATTCGAAAAAAAGCAATAATAATTCCAGCATCTGCTTGTGCAATGCCCAAACAAATTTCCAACTGGAAATAAGCTTTAATAAAAAGGCCTTTCAATAATAAACTTTAATAAATCGATCGGTATAAGTGCTAGGATTGACTATGCTTAATATGCAGCATGAGAGTACCGATGTGTAATTGATCGGGCTGCAGGAAATGCAAAATGCATGGCAAAAATGGTAGACTCCATGGCGAGCTGCAGACCTTGTCGATGCGCACACACAAATAAAATGACTGTCAATGGGATTATGTTGTTAAAAGCAAATAATTGCATTTTAATTAGCAGCGAAATAAGTGCGATAATTGGCCCCCGAGCCTGTGGGATCGATAATCGTATTCGTGGCATTGCGTAAATTGGGAAATGGGGAGAGCATCTGTATGCCCGGATACTCGGGTGCCCACGCAGTGAATGAATCAGATGCGGCTGGCTTTATTAACCATATTATTATTTCAATTCGATGCGTGTCATGCAAATTTCCATTCGCTGTTTTTGTCGCTCCAGTGCCTGTGCAAGGACCAGGACTCGACTGGACTCCGACTGGTTATGTCCTCTGCCTTTTGGGCCATGACACGTAATTAAGCGGTTTTATTTGCGGCTTTGCCGCACATTAATTGGTCATGTTAAATGTGAACTTTTATTTGTGAAAAAAAAAACGTCAAACATTTCTATAAATTTCAATAAAAATACATATTGTATGTATGTATGTGTGTGTAAATATATTCCCACATTCATGAAAATAATAATAAAAATAATTCCAGTGGATTATGGATGAACTGAAGCATGTTTTGGTTGTGTTATGTCCGTGTTCGTCTCTGGTTGTTTTGTCACATTGTGGGATTATGTTTTTGCCAGAGAATGTTATAGCCACTCATACCAATTAGTGGCTGCAATATGACAAAACCAATTGGAAAATTTCATTAGACCCAGTGATAATTATTCAGTTAGACAGTTAATGTCGTCTAGAATAGGGGTAATAAGCTCCTAAAATAGATCAGTATACAAGCAGAAGCTCTCAAGCTGAAAACAATCTATATTCGTGGGTTTTAGAGTGCCAACTGCTGTTTATAAGCAGCACAAAACTACGAAATTTACTCGCATTATATACCAATATACCAATTGTAATCCAATAGGAGGCCATGCATTTCCATTTACCTTTCCGACCAGACACACTTGGGATTCCGCCGTAATCTAGCCAACATCTTGGACTCAAACACCCCACCCACAGCCACACAATAACACCACAAACAGAAGCCGCATCGGTCCCAGGCTAAGCCACTGCCAATAAACGGCCCCGCGATTATCCACCCAGTTCATCGGCAAGGCTCTCTCACTCTCCCTCTCTTTCACTGCGTTAACATAAAGTTTTTCCATTTTCATGCGGCGCCATAAAAAATATGGACAAGGGAAAGGGACTCCTACGGCCATCACCCATCGCCCTCCTGTCGGCCTTGGGGCCGATGTAAGACGGAGATTTGTGTGTTTGGGGCTTGTGCTCGCTTGCCTTTTCCGGATTTTCTTTTGCGATTTTCCCAATCATTTTCGGCATTTTAATGCATGGCATGGAACGGGGGACTGGGGCTAAGGCTGAGGCTGGGGCTGACTAGGAAAAGCCTACGTGTATCAAAGTTGATTATCGTGGAATATTTTTCAGCATGGATTGAGCAAGAGATTTGTGGCTTGTGGCCTGACCTGATTTGCTGCCGCTGGCCTCTGGAGCTAAGCTTGGGGATTTGCGCCTAGATTGGTCCTCGAATCCCACCTGCTGTGTCCTGTGTGTCTGCTTGTGCGAGGTGACTACTTTGATGAACTTGTTGAGAACAAAACTTTGCTTGTTTTTTGTTCTTTTTTTTCCGTGGGTGTAGATGAGGAAAATGCAACTTTAATACCCATGAAAACAATAAACGCTTAATGGAATATGGCGAAAGGACGGGGACGGAAGGAATGTAAGAAAAGTGCTGGAAATTGTGTGTTCAAACGGAAGCGGAAACGGAAATCATATGGCACATGGCACTCCACACACAGACACACACACACACACGTACATCTGCTGCAGTGGCCATAAAGGTGCCTGGCCTGGCTTTTATGGCCAGCGTGTCAATGGTAGGTGGGTGGGTAAAACTTTCGCCGGACCCCCCAAAAATAAACGCATTAGATTTTGGGAATTGGAATTGCGGTTGCAGCTGCTGGCGTTCCACATTCCCCAAGAGCTGCTGAATGCCCAGAAAGTCATAAATCAAACACGTTTAATTAAACTTTACGCACGGCGGGGGATCCGGATCGCCCAAAAATTCAGGACTCGACACCCAAACCACAAACGTGGCCAAGAAACTTTGACTCCTGAACTAAGTAAAAATGCAATTACAAATGCCAGACCAAAGACTCAAAATGAAAAGCGTCGATCTGTAGAGTGCATCCACAACTATTTCTGAAACCTCTTGCCACGGTGCGGAGTCCCTGCTGCCTGCTGGTCACGTTGCGGGACGTGCATAATGGTTGCATCGCACTCGAATAGCGGCGAATGGTGAAAATGTATAAAGAGTTTCCCTGCCACAGAGTACCCTTCATTGCAGGTTGAAGTACGCTTGAAGGTGGAACATCGCAACCACCTGGCGTGGCGTCGAGATAAATGTTTCAAATAACCAAAGCAATCAGCTGAATTTACCATTGAAATACCACTTAAGATATATTGGTGGACAAATTGCCATTTTTAACACTTAAAGAAGTTTTGCCACACTTGACTTTTAAGTTTTTAAATATTTTAAAGCGACTCATAGTTAAATCCAAGATAATCTTTCCGTAAGCTGTAATATTTCTCTGTTTGAGCTAATAGTATACAATATAGTTTTAAAATCCATCAGCTTATGTAATGAGTATCCCAGCAGTTTCTCATTCGCTTCCATTATCCCCACCCTTTTTATGCCCCAAAACTTGTTAAAAGCCCACACACAAATACACTTGCAGCAGACTGTAAATTATGTGGCAAAATGCTTTCTCGCCAGCGCCTTGCCCCACACCACGCCACCCACCCTCTGTTGTGGCGCCTTCTCCTGTCATTGCGAAGGAAATCACGCAATAAACTAGCGGCGAAAACAAAACTTTAACTACTTTTTCCGCTGGCCGCAGAAACTCGGATGGGGGAAAAAACTTTTTTGAAACAATACAATTTATATTTATGCGCAGAGGCGACGACGATGACAACGGTGGGAGGGACCTGGGCATGAAGAGCTGACCCAGAAAGCGGGAGGCAGAAGAAATGTCGGATGCCCACCATTTTGGGCACTACCCAAGCCAAAGAGCAACCTCAAGCCCAAGCACGAGATCCAGTTTCCAGTCTTCAGGAGGCGAGTGTATTTCAAGTGTTGAAAATAACTTGACCGACTTTCATGTGGTTTCCCCCCATAGCTGGTGTTGATAACTGTTTCAACCAACCAACCCAGCCGCCCCCACTCAGCTCCACTCTTCACTCTCCATCACCAGACATCCGACCGACACAAACTTGTCCATGTCTATTCCAGGGCTTAGTCGGACTTTGGCCTGAAACTATTGGGCCCCAGAAACTTTATAACAAATTAATTGCATTTTAAGGGTATGCAAAAACCAGACATGCGCCCAAAATGTTATCCAGCTCTCGGCTGTAATTTGATAACGAAATATTTTAACAGCAAAATCACTTCATCGATATCATTAAAATCGAATTAGTTTTACCCTGCAGCTTGGGGATTATGTCGAAAATCATTTATCATCAGCCAGCAAAAGTATAGTTGCATCAAAAAGTAAATTGCAATATCAGCAACTGCTGACGGGGCAATATTTTGGAACGGGTTTTGGTTGTGTTGCTGGACAGAAATTTCATAATTTTCATTAAGGTTTGGTTTATGACTGCCAAAGGGTTAATTAAATCGAACACAAACACACATTACAGGGGGTGCGACGGAAGGGGCTTAGTGGCTGGGATATGAAAATAAACTGGCCACGTTTTCCTAATTAGTTTCAAAAGAAATCTTGTTTGTTTTCATATTTGGGGTTTCAGCCATGTCATGGGCACACCAGGCCACAATCAATATACAGACATACACACCCAATTATCCTCCGTCGGTGTCCTCTCTCCCAGGAGGCAGCCTGGAACTAGGTACAGTTCCAAAAACAATACAAATGCGATTCTGCACGGGCCGGTCGGTCGGATGTTGATTGTGGGGATGGAAGGCAGTGGCAAAAGAGTGGAGTCGAAGTCGATAAGTCGAAGGGAAGCTCATAATGACCCGAAATCCTTTCGGGCCAAATGAAAATTCCCCAGTCGTGCGTATAATTGGAATTAATACAAAAAGAAGCTGAGAAATTTCGATGTGGATCAGATTGACGGAGTAAGGAGATTGGGCAGATTTAATGGACATGTCCTGCTCCTGGGGTCCCTCACTTACTCTGTATGGAATTCATTAAATTTGATGAAGCCTCACTGTGGTCTCTTCTCTCCGGCAGTCCATCCCTTAATGGGGATTACAACACTTAAAGCATGTGTACGCGTGTGTGCACGTGTGCATCTATGTTTTGTATAGGATTGATGAGCTTATTGAAAGGCCCGAATCAACATTTGACATATCTGGGGCAAAATAACATTAACTTACCCCTGGAGTGTGGCAGATTGAATATATTATGATTTTTGCCAACCTAAAACACATAAACAAACAAATTTAATATCAAAGTATGAACACATAACCTGAAAACGTGGACAGACCTTCGGCCCGCTGCCGCATTTAATATTGCCGACGGCATTTTGTTGCTGCGCAGGAAAACAAATTTGATTAATGGCTTTTAATATTTACTAACTGTGGCACTCAGCGATGAGCAATTAAAAAGCACAAAAATGCACGAAGGAGCACAACTTTTTACTTTGATCGTTGAATTTCGCCACAATTGCGATCAGCATGCCATCTCGCTTTTGCGTGTAGGAGGTGTGAACAGCTGATTTCCTGCCGCGCTTTTGTTGCGTTAGGAAATTTCCAAGACGCTGTTCTTTAAATAAAATTGGCAAAGCACCAAAACGTTGACCAGAACCGAGAAGAAATAAATCATGCTCGTTTGCTTGTTGAACACAAAAAGGCCGCAGCATTTGTAAGCGGTGGAATGGCAACGCAAGTGATCCGAGAAGCGTTCCAGCTGCAAGGAAATTACTGCAAGGTAACAAAAGAGTGGTATGTAATTTAAGTAGTATTACCTCCAATTGAAAATCCCTTTTGACCAGCTCCAGATCGCTGAATTGACGCAGAATTTCCCCTCTTTCGAGGCCACTTCGCCGCGTCAGATCGTCGGCCATGTTCATCAGAAGCACCGCACTCCAGTAGTGGGTGACGATCACCAACTCTCCCCACAGCTTGGTCACGCTGTTGGTCGCTATGGAATCGTTTCCAAACTGTACAGCGTGATACATTAAGTTCACATTCGTCACGAACATTTTGAGCATCAGAAAGGCAATGGTAACATCAAAGATGCCAAAGAGACTCCGCATCAATCGCTGGCCCTCGCAATGCAGCTGAAAGAGATGGCCCACGGTGTGGAGCGTTTGTCTGGCCAGCGATGCCGACAGCAGCAGTGCGTTGCGCTCCTCGTGGTGCAGTCGCGAGCAGAGATCCTTCAGGGCAAGATTCACGCGCTCCATCTGCCAGTAGAGGAGCAGACAGATGACATACAGGCCGGTCATCATGATAGCCACATAGACGAACTGCATCATGTGGACGACTACCATTGTGAGATTGCTGAACTGCACATCCGTATCGATCCGCATCAGAAGAAGCACGGCGGACACTATGCTGAGATTCAGAACAAAGAACCACTGACGCAGCAGGCTGCGAATCCTTCTCTGTAGCTTTATGTAGCCCGACGAATGCAAGGCGCCGCTTTCCAGCAGCCAACATCTGTGGCAGTGCCTCGCCAAGCTCTCGCCCAACTGCAGCAGCGGTTTCCTCTTGGTCCACGTCAGATAACCGCAGGCAAGCATCGCCATTATACGGGTAACGTTCGTCAGGTTGAACGCCCACTGCAGCACCAGCCTATCACTCATGTAGCTCTCATCGTACATAAAAACCGGAAAAGTGAATGGCAGCAGTACAATGAGCAGCACATTCAGACAGGCCGTGTATGCGAGGTAGCAGCGACGTTGATGCGATCGGTTACCGAAGTGAATGCGGTCCCGGGCCCGGTCCAGTCGCAGTGGAGCCGGGAGCAGGCCACTGCACAGGCCATAGCTATGGAAGGTTTTCAGCAGCAAGCAGATGCTCATTTCATCAACTGCTTCGGGGGACGGTAAGCTGGCAACTGAATTCGTTGGAAGCAACTAGCCCTAGATAATGGGGATTTGATACGGCAGCTATCAGGACGGGCCATCAGAATCCCATCGGTGTGTAACCGACTTTTAGCTAATTAATGCTCGTCTCGTTCCTCCACAGGAGGTGCGCGTTTGAGTCCTAGACCAGTTGCCTGGCAGCCACGGCTACCCCAACAACATGTTGCATCCGAAATTGGGTCTGGCTTTGCGTGTAGCCTACTACCACGCGCTCGTTTTTGGACTGATGGGGACCACGCTGCAGATTCGTGGCAAGAGCCGGCTCATCCGCGTCGAGAAGGTGTCGTGGATGTACCTGGCCTACAGCGTCCTCATCAGCGGCTGTCTCCTGCTGGATCTTTACTTTATTGTGCCGCGCGCCATCGTCGATGGCTACATTCACCACAACATTGTCCTGCAGTGGAACTTCTTTTCGATGTTGGTCCTGCGAATTGCGGCCATTTTCTGCAGCTATGGACTCGTCTGGCTGCAGCGTCGACGACTCATTAAGCTCTATGTGTATTCACTCTATCTCTGGAGGAGCTACAGGCGGTTACTCAAGCGTCTGGTAGACCAGCGGACCCTGGAGGAGTTACAACTCTCAGTGACGAGCCATTTCTGGCGGAACACCATTGTCGTCTATGGATCGCTGCTCTGTTCGAGTGTCGTACAGTATCAACTGCTTAGCGTGATCAATCGTCAGAGCCTGATGGCCTTGTTTTCGAGACTCTCCCAAATACTACACGTCGTGGCAGTCAAAATTGCCTTCTACGCGCTGCTCCAGATGCTCGATCATCAGTTCCGGGTCGTGCACCTGGCCCTTAGGGCTCTCCAGAGACGCAGAGGTGGAAAAAAGAAGGTGGTGGATCTTCGACGCATAGCAGCCTTGCATTTGGACACATATCAGCTGGCCAGGCGCTTCTTTGGCCTGTACGATGTGGCCAATGCCATGCTGTTTGTCACTATGTTTATGACCTCCATGAGCATCCTCTACCATGCCGTGCTGTACAACAACCAGTCCATCCATTCCGACGGTTGGGGCGCTCTCTTTGGCAGTGGCCTGGTTGTGTCCAACATTTACAGCACTCTGATGCTCATGGACTTGCTGGATCACGTGGTCAGCTCGTGCAACGATGTTGGCCAGACCCTACGACAGTTTAGCAATCTCCGGAAGATCAGCAAAGAGCTGCAAATAGGGGTGAGTGCTGCAAGGACAGATTCATCCCAAATTAATGCATTTCTTTCACTTTCAGTTGGAGATTTTCGGCAGTCAGGTGCACCGTCATCGTTTGGTTTATAAAATATGCGGCCTGGTGGAGATCAACAACTCCGCGTGCCTCAGCTACATTAGTTGCATACTCAGCAATGTGATCATTCTCATGCAGTTTGATTTGAGGCGCAAGCAGGAGGCATACGTTGAGCAAACATTATAATCGACTACTGCAGGGAATAGGTGGAAAGTTACATGGCATTTATTTCATACATGTTCTGTAGGGGTTTCATACATTTAATTATAAACAAAATTTTGTATTTTATGGCATAGGAATAATTGTCAAGCTTTAGTTGTTTATAGTATGTATCATTTGCCAAGGCTTATATGGCGAGGACACTTCGAAATGAAAGCTTTTTTAGAGCCCTTGAGCTTTGTTTTATAGCGGATAAGTTCTACTAGTCTCCAAATGAAATTTTATAGAAATTCAATAATCGAAAAGGATACGAAAATGTTGATTTTTATAGCAGAAACTTTATATAGATAAAACCACCATAAATTTTGAGTATAGAACATATTAAATTCTGTTAAAGTTAAATTGTAGAGTAGTCTAATTATCCGTATATCTTATAGGCAATCTGACAAAGTACCAGGGCATTGCTCATTACAGAAGCAGTCATGGCATGACCGGAGGCACGACTCAGATCGAAGAGTCCCACAATATGGAGGCGTCGCACGCGTTGCGGTCGCGACTGGAGCTGCCGATTGAGGTAAAAAATGGCAAACTCCAACTGAAACATGTATTAAACTATAAATATTATTATTTCAGTGTGGAGATATATACGCACGTACCTTCCTCGATAGAACCACTTCTGAGGGCAGACCCACGCCATTCTGAGACTGATTCACAAACCAGAGATTTTGCAGCCGCTCCCGGAGCTTTAGCCACTTGGAACTAGTTGTTTCGAAGATGGAAAACTGCATCATGATCTCGGCATGGTGAGCGAGGCACACAAAGACGGTGAAGAGGCACTTCCACATGTTGAAATCCTCGGCATACTCCATGTAAATCCACAGGCGAAAGACGGTTGCAATGCTGTAGATATAAGTGGTGCCCATATTGAACAGAATCTGCCACTGAAAGATCTGGCGCAGTTGCCTTAGAAGATCATCCAGTTGCAGGCAGCGATGCCAGAGTAAAAGCCAGGCGTCCAGGATCTGCCTGATGCCCATATCTCGAGGACGACCCAAATGCTTTGGCAGGACCTCCAGATCATCAAACATTTCCTGCAGCTGATGCGTCATGTTCGAGATCAACCAATTGCCAGATACTTGGATCATGTACACCGTAAAGTCCACATAGCTCACCATCAGCTCCATGATCAGGGCATACACTATCGCGGCCATATAGAAGGGCGCCACACCTGCCCGATCCAGGGTGCGTTGACAGTGCACCAGAGAGTTTTGCGTCAGGAGGATTTGGATGAGCATCACAAAGCGGGAGCTGGTCAGTGCCACCTTCCACAGGCAGCGCCTACGGCAGTTGTTGCGCATGGCGGTGCGGAAATCGAACAGCAGCTTCAGATATTCATTCCCCAGACGCTCAACCCGGCAACGCCGCAGCCAGACGCTGCTGACGAGCAGCAGCATTGTGAAGAGCTTGGCCTGTCCCATCACACTGTAGACGGTGCTGAACATGCCGAGGTGCTTGCATCCGTAAATTTTACCCGCCAGCAGACCGAAGGCAAAGGGCATGACCAGCACAAAGACCACATCCAGGACGAGGCAGTACACCACTGTGGGCACATGATTGAGCACAAGGCGACGCTGATTCGGATCGTAGTGCAGGTTGCAGAGGCCGATGAGGCGACTCAACTCAAAGTAGAAGCGTAGCAGCGAAAACTGAACCATGCTGAAGGATGATTGGTCAGCAACTAATGCGTTTTGCACCTCGTTGCTTGGCTGAATTGTGGTTTCAATTGTCTCCTGGGACTGGAAGGGATTGTTAATCGGGTCGTGACATGCAACAGGTTCTCAGATCGTATAGATATCTACCATTTTGTATTTGTGTGAATTTCTGTGGAGCAAAATTACTTCTACTGCTATCTGCATACAATTTTCGATCCTTATGTTAGCATTTTAAATAATAAATCTATGAGGCTGACTCAATTTGGAATACTGTAAAGTAAAAGTTGTAAAGTAAAGTAAAAATACTCAATAACAATTCTGTGTGTAGTAACCGCAGGCCTGGGGATGAGTAGAGCATATGCTCATATTCAGATCTTGGAATAAATTCAATTCTATAAACCAATTCAAAAGGTAAAATAAATATAATTGAACCCCCACAGAATATTTAGACAACAAATAACACGGCATGAATAAACAAAGACGTAACCTTGTTACTTAAATTAAATTCCAGTAAAGATAAATAGTCAATTTGTTAAGATTAATTCCACAAATGAAATCGCAGTCATTCACTTGATACTTATCTAAAAAATGATTCATTTATTTCACTATCTTTCGCAGTGTACACGTTGTACATATTCTTGCTGTTAGTTTTTTGTTTTGAGTGGAGTGGGTTCTCTTATTTGTTTGTTCTTATCAAAATACCTGTTTGTTAATGAACTTCTGACATACTCTATATATATGCATATTTAAATCTATGTATATAAGTCCTATATAACTATATGTATGTTTTTTTTTCGTTTCATTAAAAATGTAAGCTTATGCATACTTGCACCACAACGAAATGATGATGCGTAAAAGCGTAGTCGTATCGTTGTCCTATGCGTTAACTAATCGTTGGCTTAGATCGAGAGAACGATAAACTAATACAAAATTTAAGCATATTACTATAAAATCACACAACAATTATTTTCTGCAATCTGTTGCACTTTTATCTTTGCGGTATCTTCTGGGGCTCTCCTCCTTTCATCTTTCCTTCTCTTCTAACTTCGTTGTAGGTCTACAGACTATGTGGAATATACATACATCAATGTATACTTCTATATATCTAAAATTGTAGCGTAATTTAGCACAAATTGTCTACTAAAAATCTACTAATTAACCCGTTTTCTGTTCGATCTTTGTAGCAGCATTCTATGCCACAATATGGCTATTTTTGTTCAGATCGGTGAGTAGTTCCGCATCCAGATCCTCTGCCTCAAGCAGATCGTTGCACGCATCTCCGTTTAGCGAGTGAGGAATGCTTGTGGACAGCACCATGCCGCGGCTACCGTTGCTCGTTCCAATCGATATATCATCGGGTGGGGAATTCCTGCGACGCTCCCGTTCGCGCACAATATGAGGAGCCTCATTGAACTCATCCAGCTCATCCATGCCTAGGGCAGAGAGGGCGTTAAAAAGATTCATATGGTTGAGGTGTAACCAGAGACTCACCTGCATATTTGGTGCCTGCAAGAAGGAGATATTGTCCCGCCCGATGGGGCCACAGTAGGCCCGTCATCACACAGTATGCGAGGCAGTCGGCCGAATTGGTTATGCCCTGGAGCAGCTTGTAGCGCCACATGGGGCTGATCTGCAATGCCACAATGGCCACGATGGGCAAGTAGATGAACCACACTAGACTGGAGGCGCCCAAATGCAAAAGGAAATCCAGTTTCTTGGTGGAATGCTCGTATTTCATGGTGTTTCGCAGCTCGTACAGGAACCACATCATAAAGGAAGATCTGCAAGGGATTATAGATGCTTAGAAGAGAGTTGCATGGAGAGTTCTCGAAGGATTACCGCAGGATCAGGACAATCCAGCCGGGCCAGGTCTGATATTCATCAATATCCGATACAATGTCAACCTCCGTCTGAAAAGCGGGAGCAGAAAATTAAAAGATCCTTCTATTGTCCAGACATAAATGAAGCCTCACCCGATCCCAGATGTAGAGGAACACATGGAACGCACAGTATGGCACCCAGATGGACATTAGAATGATCCAGCCGGTGCGACTGATTTGCTGGCGCGTTACCGCCCAGCCCTTGGCCAGCAGCAGGAGGATCAGCATGAATGTCGTCCGACTAAGTATGTCCAGCACATCGCCCGCCGCCTGCAGCCGAGGCTCGCCCACTCCATTCGCCGCATAGTGGATCAGATGGGCCGTGATCAGTGCCAGGCTAACGAATTCGCTGAGCAGACTCAGCGTAAAGAGCTTCGTGACGGGATGCTTCTGACGCCTCACCGCATAGATCTGCATGGGCAGGAGCACAATGTAGACCAGCAGGAAGATGAGGTACATCTCCAGTAGGTTCTGCTGGTCGTAGGAGTACTGAAAGGTCAGCGGATGTGCGGCCGAGTTGTTTGGATGCACATTCACCAAATGGATGTCATAGTGCAGCTTGTGGAGAAGTCCGCTGCTCCTGTTGCTGAGCCGCGGCAGGCTCTCGTGTGCGTGCCACTGGCAGGTGCTCTGATTCTGATAGCAGGCCACCAAGGCCATGTACCAGAAGCTAAAAAAAAATAGGAAACACCGATTAGATTAGGTTTTCAAGCTAAAAAAGATCATCTCCCACTTACCGCGGCTCAGCCTCCAGGTTGATTACGTACGTAAACTGATGTCCTGGCATCACATTTGCTGGGGCATCCTCGTCGCTGCACAACTGCCCCCTGGGACAGGGCACATGCCTGAGAAAGTCGCGCTTTCCCTGCGGATTGCATTTGGGATCATAGGCAGTGCTCTGCAGGCGCGCGAACATCATGGAGCACGATGCCTCCCGGCTCCGGAGGCTGCGATTTCCGTAAAAGTCCAAAAATGTGGACTTGTCCAGCACCACCAGGGTCACGGGGGCCGTGTAGTTCTCCGGGGATGTGACATTACCATAGATATAGCCATAGGCAATGCGTCGTGTCGGGGGATCGGCCTTGTTGAACCCAAATTTCACGAGAAACTGGAAAAAGTCTGCCGTTTGGAAGTCACCGCTTATGTGGGTGGCCTCTGCCATGGGCAGGGGCAGTGGCAGGCTGCACAGCAGAAGCAGTAGCAGCCAGCACAGGGTTTGGGGCGACGCTGCTGCTGGTGCTGCTACAACGGAATTCGGGGACATGGCGAATCTTATCATTTTTTCGGATACGTCTTCCTCCTCCTTCTGCTCTGTCTGCTTATCTGTTGCGTTGGCATCCACCGTGGCAGCGAATTGCCAGGGTGGCGCACCTTTGTGCATTGTGTGCAGCAGTCGTTTTTCGCGGCGGTCTTTGCTATTTTTATTCCGTTTTTGCGGAAATTTCCACCAATGTACGATTTTTGTTGTTGTCTGCGCTAGGGCTGCAGTACCACCGATGGCACTATCGATAAAATCGTGGTTTGCATGCGATGTATCGCGGCTTTATTCGACCATCGATTTATATTTTTAGACGGAAGTTATCGAAGTTATAGTTGTAGCAGTGGTGTTGGGCAACGTTTTTGCCGCCAACTTTTTTTCAAAGCAGCCCTGCTGTGATAAAAAAACCAATCTTTTAATGAAAACCACAAAATCACAGACAAATTGTAATATTTTGTATAACTTTGCACAGGAAAAGATAAAGTTTACACCTATTTGAATTAGCGGTCGACAGAAAAAAAAGCCCGTGCATTCTAAGCCCGGTTTTGGCGGTATTTTTGAAAAGCACTTTAAGGTATATTAATCCTTTATATACTTTTTATCAGTATCACTTCAACCTTACTGGAGATAAGACGTGCTATCGAAAACCCCGCTTCGCGCGAACCCAAAGGCTTATCAGCAAAATCGCGATAAACAACAACAACTTCAACTCAATTCGTAAAACAGAAACACAAAAACAAGCACACAGCATCAACAGTTGCTCGGGCTTAAGCCCAACCAAAGCTACCATGCACGAACCACCCGATAAGAACAATTATGGCGTCAAGTCAAAATTAGGTGAACCAAAATATATAATAATTAAAAGAAATGATAATGGTACTTTCGCAAACGTATCACCTTTTATAATTAAAAAAACCATAGACTTCACCTGTAATGGGGAAGTTGACTCTTGTAAGAAAACTAGAGACGGCTCTCTCCTCATCAAAACCAAAAACAAGCTGCAAGCCTTGAAACTACAAGAGCTTACTAAAATGACAGATATCGACATAACAACTTCCGAGCACAAATCACTTAACTATACAAAAGGAGTCATATACTGCAACGAACTTCGAAACATAAGTGAAACGATAATACTAGAAGAATTAAAAACACAAAATGTTGCTGAAATCAGGAAAATCATGAAGAAACAACAACAACAAGTAGCGACGATGAACACTAAGCTCGAAGATAAAAACACGCCACTTGCAGAAACCGGACTAATCATAATAACATTCGCTTCACTGAAATTACCTGAATCAATTAAAATTGGCTATGAAACTGTTCGCGTACGTCCCTACATCCCACTACCGCTACGATGCAAAAGATGCCTCCGCTTCGGACACCCAACACCTGTATGCAAAAGCTCAGAGAAATGCAGCAATTGCTCAGACATCAAACACACACACGAAGGTGAAACTTGCAAAAATACAAAAAACTGCCTTAACTGCATGGACAACCCAGACATTGAACACCACCACAGCCCCCTCGATCGTAGTTGCCCTACGTTCAAAAAACAACAGGAATTAACTGCAATTAAAACTACCGAAAAAGTCGATCACAAAACAGCACTCAACATATACTATACACGACTTGGCCATCAATCAAGAACCAGCTATGCTAATACTCTCGCTAAACCTGCACCTCAAACCTCAACCAACCCACAGCCATCTAACACCCATACACCACCCATCGCCCAACAGGAAACAACAACTAATAACCCACTACACCAACAACAAAACAAAACACGCGCATCTACGTCTCGTGGGAGCGAACCAATTAAAAAGCACTCAACACCAGCCTCACCACAACAATATCAACCACCCCAAAAGGTGCACGAAGACAGGGACATTGACAATACAACTATCACTGAGCCCACATTATATGCATCACAACATATAGATGACCTAAAAATAAGAATCTTTCCAAAAGATAAATCCAGTTCCATTGCCACTATTCTTAAACCTAGCAAAACAAAAGTCAAACCCTTAAACAAAAGAAAACAACTCAACATTAGTGATAGCGAATCTACATAATCATAATCTTACCATGTTGATTATAATTCAATGGAACATAAGAGGCTACACTAAAAACTACAGCGAACTCCTAATAATAATTAAAAAATACTCGCCTCATATAATTTCACTCCAGAACACCCATCTACAGCCCCATCACTTCTTTCCTACTCCTGTGAACTACACCATTAATACAAACATACCCCAAAACATATTCGGTGGGGTAGCCTTGCTTATCCACAAATCTGTTCAGGCTCTGAAATAAACTCAGAAATTAACTTTTCTCTGCTTTCTATGTATATTCCTCCAAACAAAAGCTTCAACATTAATAATATAATATTAACTCGAACACCTCAGCAACTGGCGAAGCGGACCTTCATGGGGGTCTTCCAGTCACACAGTACAATACACAGCATAACGCAACCATACTCCCTGCGGTGACCATCCCGATTATTGCCTTTTTCAAACCCCAACATCCACACCCCAGAAACCACTCATACTGGCCAACTGGGACTATGGGTTCGCCAACCACCACAATACACCAACAGCACAGGCACAGAAGCGGCTAACTATTACTACAAGGGAAGGCCATCCCAAGCATCTCTCAGCCACTTTTCTAAGTCTTCTGATCTGATCGCATTGGAGTGCACGCCGTCACAGAACAGCTTATAGAATGGCAAATTGGTCCAAAAATTATAAACTACGTTAAAAATTTCATGTCTAACAGGAAAATTATAGTAAAAGCAAACGCACAACTCTCCGCTACTTTCCCTATCGACAATGGAGTGCCTCAAGGTAAAGCTCCTAAATCCACCATTAACAAAATAAACCCAATAGTAAACTCCGCGCTCAGAGCAGCCTTTGGCGCTTACCGTACTTCACCCTCCAAAAACCTCATGTCTGAAGCGACCTACGTTACACGTTCTCAAAAACCAAACTTTTTAAATCACTTCGCATTAGTTCAGATACCCCTTTTGCCAAATTTTTCTCCTTTTTCTCGCTTTTCTCTCCATTAAAGAATCGTACTCGGACCGCAAATTCATCTATGCCGATGGGTCAGCCACGGACATCTCTATTACTTTTGCAATTTCCACAGAAATGTCTGTTCTTCGTTTAGGTAGACTACCCAATTATTCTTCCGTCTTTTCTGCAGGGATCATAGCAATTGTAGAAGCAATCGAACTAGTTAGAAAAATCTCAGACCCAAAAAAAAAAAAAAGGAAAAAAAAAAAAAAAAAAAATTTAAAAGCCCGGCCCCCCCCTACACCAGAAAAAACCCCGGAAGAGGGGGGGGGGGGTAATCTGCTCAGATTCCCTGTCCGCATTAGATGCAATAGTAAACACCAACAACAGAAGCTACTACCCCGCTCTAGTTAGAACTCTTCTCGCACAGAATAAAACAAAAAAAAACTCTTATGGATACCTGGACACACAAATATCAAAGGAAATGAGACTGCAGATGACGGAGCGAAAACAGCACACTCCCTTCCCTTAATTACCACCATTAACTTCAACAAAAAAGACATAGACCAATACACAAAAAAGATGTTTCAAGAGGAGAAGCTCCAATTTATGAACGCCACATCAGACTGGTACCGCACCATCTCACCCCCATCCTCCACACTCCAACCACTTTTCCGAAATCTCAATTTAACCCGAACAGACCAAACCAAAATAACCAGACTACGCATCGGACACTCGAAACTAACTCACGAACACTACCTTAATTCCAAAATCAACAGCAATTGCCAACTATGCCAAAAATCTTTATCCTCAAATATTCACCACATCCTAACATCATGTGCTGCGCTATCCAAACATAGACATAACATACTCTCCTATAAGGACCCCCATTACGTTACTACAAAACCCTACCCAACCCAATCTACAACTGATTTAGTCATTTCTCAAAAATGCTGACATCTACCATAAAGTTTAATGTAAATATATATGGGAAAATAATAATTTACTATAAAATAATTGTAAACCCTCTCCCCCTATCATAAGCCTATCTAATGTAAACACAGTCTCAAGTTAACTATCCTAATTAATACGTAATATAATATATAATATAATAAGTAGCTAAAGGCCAGAGCAGCCAAAGCTTCATCTTTCTACTACGGGTCCTAAGCTATGCTTATAACTCTGTATATATTAATAATATACTTTATATACCGTTTTACGTTTGAGCCGTAAATTGTGGAAATTTTTCCATACATACAAATTAAATGTGTTTAACGGGTCCCACAGTGTGACAAGAGGCGTTCAACTTTTGAAATAGAGGGGTGTTAAGTGGGTTAAAGCTAGTTTTTTTCTTGGTATATTTACGGTATATTTTGAAAATGATAGGGAATATTTCTGAGGGTCAGACGGTATATTTGATCGGTAAGTCCGCGGTCACACTGCTGATGGTCTGGCCGGGGGAGCGTAGTTTTGTTAAATTTGTGCGTTTTTTGCAAACTTCGGCGAAATTGTTAGTCAAAAATTAAGTGACTGCGTTTAAGTGGAGCTGCAGCAACGCGCGCGCCTATTGCACCCAGAAGTGTTTAGTTCTCCAGCTCCTGGTGGCTAGGAAAAATTCGCGAATGCGGCAAAAGAAAAGTGCAGAGTAAATAGAATTTCGAAAATTTGAAAATTGTTGAATTAAATACCAAACAGAACAGTTAACGTTGGCAGAAAAAGAGTTAAGCGAAACCTGGTTCTGGTTTGGGCTCGGTATCGTGTTCGGGAGTGCCGCCGAGTTTTCCGACCCCGCAAGACGAGGGTGGAAAACGCGTGAAAAGCGTGAAAAGAAAGGAAAACGGCAGGCAAGGCGTTGTGCTGCGTGTTGTGTGTGAGCCTGCGAATAATGTGAATAAATAAAAGGCGCTGCCAGAAGGAGGATACACCCGTCAAACGCAATAGCCCCACGGAAGCACAGAATGTCCGATCAAACACGGTCTTTGGGGGATCGGGATGAGGAGTAGCTGCTGCAGAATCCAGTTTCTGGCTGCTGTGAGGCAAGGCGTTTTGTCAGGATTGAAATCGAATCGAAGCGAAAACCACCGACGCCACCACCACCACCACCACCACCACCACGACCAAAAACAACAACAACATCTACCATAAAAACAACAACAGAAAAAGCGGAGCCAAAATTTCTTGGCCCTTTCCTGGCATCACTGCACCCGCCGCCGCCAGCGCC